GATCGCTTCTGACTCCAGTGTCCACATCATTAATGAAGATGTTGAACAGTATGGGTCCAAGGACAGAGCCTTGGGGGACCCCACTGGTCACAGGACACCACGATGAGTGACTTCCATCGATTACTACCCTCTGGGTCCGACCCCGGAGCCAATTTTCCAGCCAGTGGATCGTGGAGGACCCAAGGCGACAATTGGCCAGTTTCTCCAAGAGGCGATCATGGGACACCAGATCGAAGGCTTTTTTGAAGTCAAGATATATGACATCAATCTCTTCTCCCTTGTCCAGGTGATAGGTCACCTGGTCGTAGAAGGAAATGAGATTGGTCAAGCAAGACCTACCCGCAACAAACCCGTGCTGGCTATCCCTTAAGATGTTGGCGTCGGCCAGTCCATTAAGGATGGCCTCTTTAATAAACTTTTCTAAGATCTTCCCCGGGATAGAAGTCAGGCTGATGGGCCTATAGTTAGCCGGATCCACTTTCCTCCCTTTCTTGAAGATAGGCACCACATTGGCCTTCTTCCAGTCTTCGGGCACTACACCAGAGCGCCAAGAGTTTTCAAAGATCCGTGCTAGAGGCTGGGCTATGATGCTCGCCAGCTCCTTGAGTACCCTGGGGTGGAGATTGTCAGGGCCAGCTGACTTGAAGGTATCCAGCTTCTCAAGATGTTCCTTCAGAAAGTCAGCATTAATGGAGGGCAGGGGATCACCCTCACCCGGACTTCCCGGCCCTGTAGCGGGCATGGGCGTCCCATGGGACTGATGAAAGACTGACGCAAAGTACCTATTTAATAGGTTGGCTTTTTGCTGGGCGTCAGTTGTCCCATCTGTTGGGACAACTGACGGTTGTCAGTTGGGCCCCATCTGGTTTAGTAGGGGTCCAATGTTGCCCCTGCTTTTCCTCCGGCTCCCCACGTATCTGAAAAAGGACTTCTTATTGTCCTTGATGCTCAAAGCTAGCTGGAGTTCAGTTGCAGCCTTGGCTTTCCTGGTCTGCTCCCTACAGGACCGGACCAGTGCAGAATAATCCTCCTTGGAGGTGACTCCCATCCTCCACCCTTTGTAGGCCTTTCTTTTTAGCCTCAGGAGATCTGCTAGGTCCCTGGAGAGCCAGGGGGGCTGCTGTGCCCTCTTGCTGCCTTTCCTCCGAGATGGAATAGACTTAGTTTGTGCATTGAGGATCGCTCCCTTGAGGAGCAACCACTCCTCTTGAACTCCCCTCTCCTTGTGGTCACGGTCCCTTAGGGCCTCACTGACAAGCCTCCTGAGCTTGTCAAAGTCGGCTTTCCTGAAGTCAAAGACTTGCGCGTTGCTGACCGACTTGCCAGCTTTTCGGTGGATGGTGAAGGTGATCAGCTCGTGGTCGCTGTCACCCAGCTTCCCATCGATCACTAGGTCGCCGACTAGGTCATCCCCAGTAGCCAGTACCAGGTCGAGCAGCGCTTTGCCTCTCATTGGCCCATAGACTTCTTGAGTCAGGTAGAGGTCATCCACGCATGAGAGGAAGCTCTGCGACCGCTCAGATTTTACTGAGCGATCCTCCCACAAGATGTCCGGGTAATTGAAGTCACCCATGACAACCATGGTCCTGGAGCAAGCTGCCTCAGCCAGCTATAAACTATATTTATTCAGGTTAGTATTGCATAACAAAGAATGATTTCTTATGTGGCCATAGTGACACCTGCTTCACAATATTCCTAACACCAACTGTGTTATCATCGAGACCAGTCAAGTCTTGGGCAAGCTTTTAAGACTGTCAAATGGTGTGTGCTTACCAAACATTTCACCTTTTAGTGTTGTAAGTTAGTACACGGCCTCATTGTATTGAAGCTCCATGCTTGCGTGGTGGCGAGTTGACATATTTGCCTACATTAGATAGATTGAAAATAAACACACTGATGCAATAAATCCTAAAAGTAAATCCTGTCTCTTGATGAAACATCAAAAAGAAAGTATTTGAATTGCAAGAAAAGAACTATCCATCCTTCATGTCTAACTTTTTATCATTTCATTCTTTGTCTAATATTGACAACAGTGAAAGTATTGCAAAAAGATATCTTCAGACTCATCCAGTGTTACATTTAGGGAACAAGATTATAATAGGACTTGGGCAAGTCTAGTAAAACTTTTTTTCATATGGGAATATGAAGCATAGAGGTATTAAATTACTTATGCCGATCTGATAGGAGGTGCCTTCCCTTCCCCCAAAATAAATTGGAATAATTTGATTGTATGACTCCTGGGTTAGTATTTTAACCACAAGATATTTCCTCCCTTCAGTTACAATTACTGGAATTCTTACTAGGAGTGAGCTATTAGTGAAGTGATTAAAATAGAATATACTATAATAATTGGTAGGTATACATTTAATATTTTGGTGGTTTTGGAACTCAGCTGCCTTTTCCAAAGCCTTAATTTCATCTTCAGCTCTGGGTAATAGGCATTGTAGTAATGTGACATTTGAATAACTTCCTGCTGTTGGGCTATTACTATTTTTTTTTTTTTCTATACTCTTCTTTCGATGGAAGTTGTCAACTCTTGAAAAGGTCGCGGTCTTGGATTTTTTTTTATTTTTGCGGAAGGATTTGCTGTGTCACTAAACCTTTTATCTTTTTTTTTTTTTCCTTTTCCAAAAAACTAACCTTTAAGTGATGTTTGTGAGATTCTTGGCCCTTTTTGAGACTCTTCCCATCTCCTCACAAAAAACAACTCCAAAACTTGGGATCTCTTTAGAACAGAGGTGGGCAAATATTGGAATCAGCCAATGGCTGAACTCCATTTCCCAGCAGCCCTTGCCCGTGTTGGCTGGGGCTAGTTTCCATGGAAATCCCTGCAGCAGCTATGCTGCAATAGTGTGGGGCCAGGGTTTCTGTGGAGACCGGCCCCAGCAGTGCTGGCAGGGTGTGAGGCTGGGCAGGGAGCTGCTCCAGGGCCAGGCTGGGATCTTGTGGTGGTGACATCATGGTCCAGAGCCAGGGCAGAGCCATGACCTGCAGTCTGCTTGCTCTGGGTAGGGGCATGCAGGCAGCGGGTCGTGGCTCTGCCCTGGCTCCGGACCATGGTGTCACTGCTGCAAGGAGCCAAGGTAGAGCTGTGACCCACTACCTGTGCGACTGTGACCCAGCTCCAGACCCCGTTGTCACCGCTGCAAGATCCCAGCCCACCCCCAGAGCAGTTTCCCACCCTGATGCATGCCCTGCCCGCGCTGCTGGGGGCAATCTCCACAGAAACCCTGGCCCCGTGCTATCACAGTGCAGCTGCTGCTGGGGTCTCCATGGAAACCAGCCCCAGTTGCATGGGCAGGGGCTGCTGGGAAATGCAGTCCACTACACGCCAGACCTTGCCTTCCCCTGCTTTAGAATATACAGGATTGGGGGTTTTTAAATCATAAGTGGCCTGGTTTATGAGGAAACAGTAACACATCAGTCAAGAGGGTATCCACGATACGTTTTAAATTCACTGGAACCGATGTAAAACAAAAACAGAATAAACTGCCTGCTTCCCTCTTCTGCCCTTTCCACTCCATCTCCCCAATGGTTGAATGCATTTCAAGGTCTTATGATCCCAGTGA